TCTCCACTGAGATCCACTTAGCACAGCACAGTCTCCTCATTGTGGAACAGCCCTCTTGAAAAAGCCCTTGAACTCTTTGCAGAGTTCTCTAAAAATAGAGATCAAAATTGGTCTGGAGTACGATATTTGAAGCCAGTGGTCAATATAAGGGGCCCAATTTCAACCTCAATTCTTTAAATTTGATAACATTAAAAACTAGATTTGATAACACTTACCATTCTGCCCTATTCTTCAACTTTCATTAGAAGCTCATTGATGGGGGGGGGGTCTTGCTGCATTGATAGAGTCAGAACCTCACTGATCAGTGACACTGTTTCTTAGTATGATTGTTATCCAAAACTCCTTCTGTGTTCTGGAGAAGCTCTGAGTTGAATTCTTTCTCCTCCATGATTTTCTTCTCTATAGGAGCCAACTATTTTAGCTTCAGTATTTCATACTTTTCATGGGCTGAGCTAAGGAGTCTCCATATTCTCAACTAAGAAAAACAAGCACCAGCGGTTGGAGAAGCTGGATTTCCGTGCTTTGGTGGTGGCTGGTAAGTCACCAGTGACGAATTATAGCAGATGTCAGGGAAAGTCATGCTGGGATCTAGGTCTCAGCATTGGCCTAATCCCTAGGGTGCTCCAAGGAATTTCAAAATCATATAAAAAAAAGTTCTTTTTTGGGTTTTAGTTCTTTCTAATATAAAATGTGAAAACTGGACAAAATGATTAATAACATATTCCATAGAAGTAGCTTTTTTTTTAAGGAAAAAAACCAATGAAAACAATGGTACAAATTTTTAAAACAAGATTATAGTAAAGTAACAATGGTTAGCATGCTGGGTAGTTATCTTCTTTTCATCATCTTGCAGCTGTTGAATTGTTATTTCCTGATTCCTGGTTATTTTTAAAAGATCTTTCCTCTCCCGTTCACTAGCTGCAATCTTGTCTTTGAGGTCTAAAATTCTATCTTCACTTTCGTTGAGGAGGTTTTGACAACTTTCAATGGAATTTTTGATTTCCTGTATATCTCTTTGCATCTGCTTCATGTATTGTTTGTTTCTTATATTGTTCATCCAGGGATTCTATCTTTTTGTTTTGTTCCTCTAAGTTTTTAACTCTGTCTTCTTTAGATGCGTCCAGCATCTCTTTCATTACTTTTATCATTCTTCTTTTACCTGGGAGATTATTTCTAGTTTGAATTCCTTTAAAGCTTCCGGGAGTTGCTTCTTTATTTCAGTTGCTATTATTTCAGGTATTTCAGGTGTATGGCATATATTTTCTTCTATGTACATGGCTCCTAGGTTTTCTTGCGATGGGCTGGATGTTTGAGATTGCATTTTGGTCTTTTGTTTTGTTATTTTCCTATATTTCCATGTTTCAAGTGTTGTTCCAAGGCTTCCCCTGGGCATGCTGGAAATCATCTCCTATGCCCTCAGCCGCTGGGCTGGGACTGAATGGAAGTTTCTGAGCATGGTCTAGTCAGGCCCACAGGACCTCCAGTGTACCAGGAAGCTGGGTGGGCACCTAACCACTGTGGATGATGGTCCAAAGCTCTCCCTGGGTAAGGATCAATGCGCTGGAATTCACCTCACATGCCCTCAACAATCCTGATTGAAGAAGGTCACTGGGCATAATCTAGTTGGGCACAAAATCTCCCAAGCCTAGGCTAGTATGACTGGAAGCTGGACAGGTCTTTGACCACTGAAAGTGATGATCTTAAAACTCCTGGGACTTGGGATGGTGTGCAGGAACTCACTCCTCCTTATTGTTATCTTCAAAAGAGTTGCTCACATTACAAAATAGAGGCATGAAAAGTTGTGCAAGCAATATAGGCACAAACTTTTTTAAAATGAACTAATAGCAGTTAGTAGTAAAACCGTCTTACTATTTTATGTGTGTGTATGCATGTATATACATATATATGTGTGTATATATATATTTTTTTCCTTTTCTCTTCCTTCTTTTTTCCTTTCCCCCATCCCAGTTTCTCTTTCTTTTTGAATACTTTCTTCCCATTTCACAATAGCTATTGTACATTTTGGATCTTATTTACTCTTCCAGCTTTGAACAGTAGGGAGACAATACAGTGTTTACACAGGCAAGTCTGGTTAATTTCACTTATGAGTATGATTTCAAGTTGTATCTATTTACCTATGAATATCTGAAATTTATCCTTCTTTATGGCTGAGTTATACTACATTATATAAAAAGACATCTTTTTATCCATTCCTAAATTGATAGGCAATTGGCTATTTCCAAGATTTAGCTATTAGAAATTAGCTATTAGAAATGCTATAAACATGGGTACACATATACCACGGTGGTATGATGTTTTTAATTTTTCTGGGAAAATACTCAGAAGGGGAATAACTGGGTCAAATGAAACTTGCAATCCTAATTTTTGAGGAATCTCCACACTGATTTCCAGAGTGGTTGCACCAGTCTACCCTCCCACCAACAGTGGATGAAAATCCCTTTTCCCCCACAGCCCCACCAGCATTTGTTATTGATTGACATCTTGATAACAGTCATGCTTACTAGGGCGAAATGGAATCTTGGTATTGTTTTAATTTGCATCTCTCAAATGACCAATGATGTCAAAGATTTTTTCATATATTTATTTGTCATTTGTATTTCTTCATCTAAGAAGTATGTGTTCATTTTAGCTGCATATTTTTGGGATGGGTCTTTGAATTTTGATGGCCTGATTTTTTTCAATTCTTTATATGTTCTAGATATAAATCCTTTGTCTGAGGAACAACAGCAATGCTTTCCCACTCTGTGGGTTGTCTTTTTACTTTTTTGGTGATTTCTTTTGTTGTGCAGAAGCTTTTTAATAAGGTTAGATCCCAATTGTCTCTTCCAGTAAATTTAGTGTTTCTGTTTTAGTATTTAGATCTCCGATCCATTTTGACTTTAGTGTATGGTGATAGGCACAGGTCTAGTTTTAGTCTTTAGCATGTAGAGAGCCAGTTTTTCAGCACCATTTATTAAAGAGGCTATCTTTCATTGAAACATGTTTGGCCCCTTTGTCAAAGAGAAGGTAGTTAAGTGCCTTTGTAGTTGTGTCTGCATCTCCTAATCTTTTCCAGTGGTCCTCAGATCTGTCTTTTATTTTTGCCATTACTATACTATTTTTATCACAGTAGCCTTGTAGTACAATTTTGAGTCAGGGATTATGATGCCTCTTGCCTTACCTTTGTTGCCCAAGATTGTCATTGCTATTCTAGGTCTCTTTTGCTTTCAGATGAATTTTATGACTTTTTTTCCTAGTTCTATGAAGTATGTTAATGGTATTTTGATCAGGACTGCAGTAAATCTGTATAACAATTTTGGGAGCATGGCCATTTTCAATGTTGGTTTTCCTATCCATGAACAAGGGATATCTTTCCATTTTCTATATCTTCTTTGATTTCCTTTTCAGGATACTGTAATTTTCATTATACACATCCTTTGTTAGACTGGTTCTTAAGCATTTCATTTTTTTAATGTTACTGTGAAGTCCACGGTCTCCCTAATTTCTCTCTGGATGAGTTTCTTGTTTGTTTACCAGAACGTGATTGATTTTTCAGTGTTGACTTTGTATTTAGCTACACTATTGAATTTGATTATTAAGTTTAGGTGTCTTTTGGTAGAGTTTTTGGGGTCTTCTATGTACAATATCATGTCACAGAAGTGGCTCTTAACTTTGGCTCCATATCATTTTGGACTCACCTAGAAAGATTTTAAAATTTTCACTGACTTGGTTACCTCCAGAGTTTCTAGTGGGAAAATGTTGTCAGGAGTGCTTTCAAAACTCCTTGGATGATTCCAATTTCTGGCCTAAAAGTTTTATCTGTATTTTATTCTCTAAATCTCTGTACTTAAGAAATGGCTGAGAAGGTTGGATGATCACACTTTCCAGTAACTAAGTATGGTAAGATAAAGAAGCAAATAATTTGAAGCATAGCTCATTATCTTGAGATTTAATATCCTTTGCCTGCAAAATTTTGAGGAATGAATTGTAATGTATCCAATGTTTTAGATCCTTTTGCTCATCCAGATTCTAGAAAAACAGTTTTGATTCAAGCAGTAATCAGCAGGATATAGTGAATTCAGGAGCCACCCTCTCATCTCTGGTCTCCCTACTTGAGAGTTTCTTTAATATCCCATCCTTGTTAGTGTGGTTCTTTGTTGTCCCAGTGCTAACCTCTTGATGTCCCCAACACCTAGCAGAGCATGATAGTCTTACGTATCTTACTTTAGGAGGTTCCAATATTCTATTTATAGAAATTTTGAATCAGGAAGACCATTTCCCTAACAATTATGGTTTTCTAGAAACACTGGAATCAAAGAGGAAAATATTTGGTGAGATTCATGTAATATTAAAATTAAAGGCCAACAATAAAAAAACCAGGAGATAAAATAAATCCAGAGAAAATCATGCTTATCTCGCTCATCAAGGATACCAGGGTTCTTGGATATTTAGCATTTGGTTATTTTCGGGTACACATTTTATATTTCTCCTTAGTGCCCTTTGAGATCAATATCACTGACCTTCAATTGACTACAAGAATCTCATGTTCATTGTGGGCAGGGAGTACATTGCTTTTATTTATCTTTGCATTGCCAGTGGACAGCAGAGTTCCCAGCACCCTGTAGATGTTTGATAATTATGGTAAAAAGTAAATGAAGGATTGTGTGAGATTAATCAGTGTGATAAAGTTAAGATGGAAAGAGAGCCTCTATAATTCCATAAATAAGGATTATTGACAAGAACTCATGCTACTCTATAGACTATATATATAAATAATTTTTTTTGTATTGGGGATTGAACTCAGTCTCACACTCGCCAGGCAGCTGCCTATACCACTGAGCTCAATCCCCGGCCCTATAATGATATATTTAAAAAATAACTGAAATCAACCCTAATGAGGCCCCACCTCAATCCCAGCAAGACAGTTGAGAGCACAATACTCTAACTCTTCAGGAAATGTGAAGGGAGGGTGATGGTCTCTATTGCTACCCCTGACTTACACAGCATCCAGGTTTGTTCCATTGAAAGCATGTCCTTGGATTGAAGTAAAGCCGTTGTTATATAGTTTCCTACAACCGAAACAGAGAAAGATAGATAGAGAGAGAGAGAGAGAGAGAGAGAGAGAGAGAGAGAGAAATCAGTGTTTTATAGAAGATGATGTGAGCCTTATTTTTTTGTTTGTTTGTTTTTTTGTTCTTTTCCTTTTTATCGGGACTGGGGATCGAACGCACGACTGCCTGCTTTCAAGGCAGGCGCTTATGCCGCTGAGCTAAACCCCCAGTCCCGTGAGCCTTATTTTGAATGGTCAGGCATCATTTCTTCAGTGTCAGAAATGTGCATAAAGTTTCACAGGTCACACACTTGCACACCACAAGAAAACTTTACAATATATTTTGGACATAGGATAGTAGTTTCCAGTTTAAATACCCGTTCTCTAGGATTCGATGCTTGTAAAAAATGACCACATATATCCTAAAAACAGGAGTCTAGGGTAATAGTTAACCCATTGTTACTAATGAAGGTGTAACTGCAGTTTCTTAAGATGGACACAGTAAAAGACATTCATCTGGGTGCATACATTTTCTATTTAAAACGTTTTTCTCTTTTGTGTTTTATCCTCTGAGTTGATTCAGATTAAATACTTAAGGCTTGTGGGTATCTTAAATGGAACAGCATTTTAAAAAGTAGATTGATCCTGCCCTTCTGTGGAAATTTTAATATTCTAACTTGTTTCTGCAACTAATTAAGTCATACATTGATTCCAGAGAATCAGTCTGACAGTTACCATCTTTCAAGGTAACTTGCCCATGAAACACTGGTCTAGAACTATCAGGACTCAGCATTCCTCATCTCAATTCTCCTCACTTATCCAAAGCACAAACCTTTTCTGCACCAGAAGGAGCTCCAGCATTAGGAACCCAGAGACACACAGGGGTACGGGAGGGTTACTTGTGGTTGTAGGCCTGAAGGTAAAAGACAGCCATGACCACAGTCTGCCACAGTCAGTGAGAATGCCTAGTGACAGCTGTAGGGAAATCATGAAAATGACTGTAATCTACAATTCTGGTAACACATTGCAGGAAGCTGGGTGAGGTATTGCATGTAATTCCAGCACTAGGAGGCTGAGGCAGCAAGATGTCAGGTTCAATATCCTAGCCTGAGCAACTTAGTGACTGTGTGAGACTATACTTAAAAAATATAGTTCAGAGCAAAGGACCTGAGTTTAATCCCCAGTACCACAATAAAAGAGAAAGAGAGAGGAAAAAAAGCATATAGGTGATTTCAAATTTGAAACTAGACCTGGCTATGCAATTTAATATCTAGCTGATCCTGAGAAGTTATCAACTTCTTTAATCATCAGCTTCTTTATTTCTGAAATACCATACCAGCTAATCAGAGGGTTGCTGGGAAGACCGGATCCTCATATATATAACACAATGAGAGCTATGAGGTGATCTTAAGACTTGGATTTATACTGTATACCTGTGGCGAGCTGAGGAATAATCTTGTAGTTTTGTTGTAGTTTTGTGTTTGTTTTTCTTTGTTTTATGTAATTGTGTAGTGAGTTTAATTCCACTGCTGAAGTGTCCTGGCTAAGGATTTCAACACAAGCTCCAGGGATTCACACTGATCACGTGCTAATAGATAAGCTTACTTTTTTCTCAGGCAGAGTTGTTTTATAAAGATGTGAAAATCATGCATTTTTATTTCCTCAAACTTTGTTGAGCATTGTGGACATTAAAAATGCTCTTTCTTTTTGAGTTACATTTCTGAGATAAACTTCATGGACAAATGGCCTCAGAAAATGTGTGAAAGGGGACAGCAATGTTCTATAAAAGAAGCCGAGAGTGCAGCAGTTTGCTTATGATTAAGATTAAATGCCACAATGGAAAGCATTCCAGAGCAGCTAAGTGACCCTGAGGTTTGAGTCTGAGCAAGCTAAGAGCCCAGGGCGTTTCTGTGCCGTAAAAAAACCAAACCAAAACAAAACAAAAAAAAACGTGGCTGGGAATCTCTTGTCTTCTCAAGAGAACTCTCCCTGTGTTGTAAGATGGATCAGCTGAAATTCTCCAACTCCCAACAGTTGAGATAATTCATAGGACCCAGATAGATTTGGAATGGCTTGGAAAATTACCCCTGGAAAAGTTGTGTGGAGGCTTGGGTCAGTTTTTCTAGGGAGTTATCAGACTATGCTTGCATGTAATAAAGAACCTCAGACTGTGTAGTATAACCAGACACAGGGAGCTTGGTGATCCATGCAAAAAACCTTGTGGTCCTGAACATGAGCAGCAGTACTGAAAATAGAGACGGGATCTGCACACATGGCCCCAACTCTACTTTGTGGCTCGTTCACTGCCTACTAAATTTTATTGGCTTGTTGACATGTTTATGTAAGTGTATGGTTGTTTTTGCCTTACAAAGACAGAGCTTAGCACTTGGTCCAGAGGTCATTTATTAAGCCTTCACCATAAAAATAAATGTGCCAACCACTGCCATACAGGAACATACTTGTCTTGTTACCTAAACCTGTTTGTGACCACAGAGTACTAATGGCAATATACTTCCGTATTTCATGAAATCCTTTCCATACTAAAGAGTAAGTTAATACCATTCCTATGAAAATCCTCCTCCCAAAACAATTCAGTTATTGGCAGGAGTGAAACCACCAATACTCACACTGTCAAAGTTTCGTTGCACAGCCCCTGAAATGCATTTACAGGGACTGAAGTCATGTAAGGGTTGTCTGCAATTTCACTGCAACAGAAAAAGGGACAAAAATATTTGATGAAGAAATCTTCCTGGAAATAGCCTTTTGTTGCACACAGATATTAAGTCAGCTTAATACAGCAAATCTTGTTTTATTGACCTTTTCTAGCCACTGATGACTTGGAGGTCAGGTGAAGTGGTGAGAGCTGTCCTAGATGGGCAGGAATTCAGAGCTCCAAGTGAACAGTCAACAAGCAAGAGCTTGAAGCTTATCACTCCACATTTTTCTAACTCTATAGCATAAACTTTCCCTCTGTAATTCTCTCTGTATGTGTCCCTTTCGTTCTGTCTAGTTAGATAAGACAATTCATTTGTGTCATAGGTTTTAGGAAAGAAAACATAAGACCACTAATTGAAAGTCACAAGAAGTAGTTTGGGAATGATTCCTGACTGTTCCCTGACATCCTCCTCAAACAAAATCACTTAGATTTCCTATTATTCAGTTTCATATGTCAAAAAGGAAAACAATAACTTCCTTCTATGCTTTGTAAGGTGGTTAAGTAGGACAAATATGATTCATGACAAAGAATTTGAAAGTTATTTAAGCCACCAGGAAAAATAAGGTAACATAATTATCATTAATTTCCCTGTATTCAGTTTTTCCTATCAACAATCAATAGTTTCTCCCATTTAAAAATAAAACAAACAAGATCTTGTATCCCAATCCTCTAACCATTGGGGTATTTCTTCTCCCTTTTAATAATAAAACTTCTCAAAATTTTATTACAATCAATTTTTGAATTCTTCCTCTTTGGTTCTCTTTTGAGCTTTCACAAAAAGTCAGTCTGACTTCCCCATCTACCACTCACTAGAATTATTCCTGTCGGAATCACCAGTGACCCACATTATTAAATCCCATGGCCATTTCCCCGTCCAGTCTTGCTCCATCCATCAGGGTTGCCACAGCTGATTACTGTGTCCTCCTTGAAACAATTGCTTCAGTTGGCCAAACCCTGTGGTTGCACTCTAGTTCTTGTCACTAACAAATAAAAGTGTCAAACATTGCATGATATGTATACTTACAGTATGAAGAATACGTCAGTGGAATAAACTTTGGTCAGATCAGGAAATATTGTAAGTCCAGTGTTGAAAATGCCCCTAAATTATAGGAAAAGGGAATAAATAGGGTCAGTTTTAGGTAAGAAAATTAATACACAGCAAACAGAATAGTGTAATGTGATAGTCAAAAGCATGAATCCTGAAGTCGATCTGGAGTCAGCTCCTAACTTTACAGAACATCTGAGTAACCATAAGTAAATTCTATCCCAGTTGTCTTAGTTACTTTTCTTATTGCTGAAACAAATTTCAGATGCTCCAAGTTAAGGGAGGAAAGGTTCATCTAGCTTACAGTTTGTAGAGGTTTCAGTTCCTAATCAGCTGGGTCCAAGGAAGGGTGGTATTGTAGAGGAGAAACAGTTCACAGTAGGTACAAGGGACAACCACAGATTTTTCCAACACTTATTTAGGTTGGGTAGCACTCACACCCTTAATGCTAATGCCCTCGGTCCTAGCATTGCACCATTAATTAACTCCAGTATCACACACTCTAGATCCAGCCATTTCTGTGAAAGTCCCACCTATGACTGCCTGGTATTTTTCAGGGACATCTAGACACAAACCACTACATTCTGCTCCTGGCACTCAAAGACTCATGTACATCCCTTTATGCAAACATTTAGGCCATCTCTGAGAGTTGCCAAAGTCCTAACAGTTTCAGCATTGCTGAAAAGTCCAAGCCAAAGTCTCCTCTGCAATTTAAAGCACTCTTAGCTGCAAGCCCAAGTGCAAATGGAAAGAAAGTTAAAACTTCCAACATTCAATGGCACATACTTTACCATTGCAAAAGGTACAAATAGGAAGATAGTAAGGAATGGGGCCAAAGCAAGGTTAAAATCTGAGGCAAGACATGAACTCCAAAAGGCTCATATACTCTAAAGTGACCCTTCCCACATGGCTCTTCCAGTGGCTGTAGCTCCCATGGCTTCTTTCTTGGGCCAACTCTGCTTCCTCCTTGCAGTTTTTCTCAGATGATCCACATTCCTGGCTTCTCTAAACCTCTAGGTCTCCACTGTACCTTTGGCCTCACACTCACACACTGCCCTCTCTGGGGCACACTGCCTAGTCTTCTAGGTGTTCTTCTGAAATCTGGGTGGAGGCCTTCTTGACCCTACAACTGTTGCATTCTGCATGCACCTAAAACCAGCATCACATGGGTGATACCAAGGTCTACTGTTAATAGGAGCAATGGCCAGGTTTCTCTTCCCTTAGCCATCAATCCTGAGAAGCAACTTTTCTAGATTGCCACAACTGTGAAACATGATACTGGGGGCTCTTTTCTTAAAGCAGTCTTTCACTTTTGCACCCCTGCAGCTGCAAAGGCTAGACTCCTGCTGGTTCTTGTGTTGTTCTCAGGTCATTTTTTTCTGTTGTCTTCTGAAGTACTTGGCTTTTTCTTCCTAGTTTTTCAGTGACCAATTTCTCTTCTATTCCATTCTTGCAGGCTGCAGCTTTACTGCAGTGTCCTTCCTGGCCAAACTCAACAACATTTTGAATCGTTCTGTTGGGATTTTTGCTCTTGATTCTTAACATAAAGCTACTTTAAAAGCCCCAACAGTAGCCATGCCACTCCCTCAAACTAGACTGCCTTGAAATTTCTTCTGCAATATTAATTAGTCCGCCATCCTTAATCTCAGTCTCAGGCAAAGTCTCTGGAATGGAGCAAAATGCAAACAAAATTTCTGCTAAGCCATAACACACACGATCTTAGGTCCAACAACCAATGTAGTCCATCTTCCCAGCAGAAACCTCTCGAGCCTGTTCTTTACTGACAGCATTTCTGTCAGCCTTCTGGTCTTCTGAGCTTTGACCAGAATCTTCCTTCATGTAAACCTAAGGTGTTCCAGCTCTGCCTTTTCAGCTGGCATCCTCAGACTTTTTCTAACTCTTCCCCTTCCCACAAGCCAACTCCAAAGTCTTTTAAACCACATAGTGAAGTAGAGTTACAGCAATGACTCCATTTCTCTAGTACCAAATTCTCTTACTTACTTCTTGGCTGTTGAGACAAGATACCTGATTCTCAAAGTTAAATGAGAAAAGGTTTATTTAGTATGCAGTTTGTAGAAATTTTAGTCCATAATCACCTGGTTCCAAGACAGGGTAACATCACAGAGGAGAAACAGTTCATGGCATGCCAAAAGTAGCAAAACAGTAAGGGGCAACCACAGCTATTTCTATTCTTAATATTTTATTAAGGCTACTGAAGGCAGTTAGCACTCACACCCTTAATCCTAGTGCCTCTCATCCTAATATTGCACCATGAATCATTTTCAGTCTCACACACTCTATATCCAGCCACCTTTGAAAAAGTCCCATCTATAACTGCACGAGGCTCTGGGGGACATCTAGATACAAACCATAACATTGATTAAATGATATTCCCTTGAGGCACAATCATTTAATCCAGAACATCAGTGTCAGTGTGTCTGCTTTGCTTGGAGAGATTGTTCTGGGGATTGTTTGAACACAGTGGTATTCTTAGAAATAGAAATTTACATTTCTTTTGTGCCTAGGGGAAATGGATAAAAGCAGGCTGGAAGAGGAAAACATGATTACCCAACTCCAAGTCAACCATCCTCTTTTACACATTTTTTGGTGTTATTGTTTAGCTATGACTTTCCTAAAGCAATGACCAGAGAGTACCACTGCAGCAGTACCACTTAAAAAATCCAGAAAAAGAAGGCAAGGTTCCAAAGTTTGTGTCATATAGGAAAAAATGTCAAGATTAAATGACATGAAAAAAACAGCATGAACACAAAAGCCCTCAGGCTCCTGATGCCTTTCAGATTTAATTGGTTTGAAATTTGTTGGAGATACTAGAATATAGCTAGTGGAAGCAAAATGTGTTTTGAGAGGCTTGGCCTGGGATGTACAATTTCAGACATAACTCCTATAGAGAGGAAGGCACAGGATCTGAATGGGCAGCAGGAGCCACAGGACTCAAAATGAGCCAGTGGGATAATGCGGGTAACAAAGGAGAGGAAGGGTATTCTGCAGGATATATGGATGTGCACTAAATGCACTAATTCAGCTGTAATAGAGGTTCATGTAAGAGGAGCAGAAAGAGCAGGGAAAAGGCCAGGGTCAAGTGGGGGACATGAAATAAAGGGTTAGGAATGCTATCTTAAAGAAATTTGCACTATAACCTTTACTTTTCAAAACCCTGAAGGAGTCTTCTTTTTATATTTCTTCCACATACCTTATTGATTACTGATTGATTTTGGAACTCAAGGTTTGTAAGACTGACTTCCTTATCCCATAATTTAGTGGCCTCCCAGATATTCTCTTCCCTTCTCCTGTGTCTCACACTCCTGCGTCCCACAAGGCACTGTTTATCTTTCTCCAAATGAGCCAGATTGCTTGTTGCCGCCAGGTGTTTGTCATGTTGTTCCTTCTATTTGCATTTCTCTTCACCTTCCCCCTTCTTTTCCTTAGAAAATTCTATTCAGCCTTACAGACTTAAGTCATAAAACGTTCATGGATGTATATGTCATAACTCGGGCCCCGGTATAAAATCCAAGGAAGCAAGAGACCGAAAATTTAGGTAGCAAAGGCTTTATTTCCAGGCCTGGCGACGAGTCTCTGGGAGCCAGTTTGGAGACTGTGTCCCAGAGACTGAAGGGAGGACTTTAAAAAGAAGCTGGAGGAAAAGTGGGGGAGAAACAAAGAAACCTGCAGAACCTCAAACTTGTTGACCTGAGTCTGGAAACTGTATTGCTGTCCACTTAGCTCTGACAATCTCGGGAGTTCCTGGTGTTTCTCAAATTACTCCCATCCTACAGACTGACATTATCTCAGAGTGGCACATCTGCAGCAATATTTGGAGAAGAAAGTGGACAGTTAATTAACCCAGGACAGCTCATTTTCACTAGTGGGTGCGAAGGGGTCAAGAGTTAAAAGAAGCTGAAACTTAAGTTTTACAAAGATCTGATATCTAATTCATTTGATGCATACAGAACAAAAGGAAAGCACCGATTGGGGTTTGGGCCATAGTATTTCCCGGTAATTTCTTTGGAGCTAAACAGTTCTTAAAATTGGGGCAGGTTCATTTTATGACAGATCATCACCAGGTCGGGAAGAGGTCACCAGAAACCCAAATTCTTTATGGCCTAGATAGATAGGTAAGGGGAGAGGGAGGCAATAAGGTGCCATACAGACAGAAAACAGCGGTTATGTGTCAAGGTCAGGTAAAGGGTTAAACTCATACCCAAATCTCTCTGCACACAAGCAAGTTACTTCAAACAAGTGTAAATTAGTGGGCCATCCTAGTTTTCTTTAGCTCTTTAGCTGAGAATAGAGGTGCCTAACAGTGATTAACAACCCTTGTTAGCTTGTTTTAGTACAACTTCTATAGTTTGTAGAGGGCAACAATGGTTAACATATCAATTAGGTGAGATTCTTGCAATTCTTTACAGAGGAGAGTATTGCTCAACATATCAATTAGGTCATTTAACATATCAGTTAGGGAAAAAGGATAAAAAAACACATTTAGTAAGCCATGTTGCAGGTTTGGTATACTATACATATAACGAAGCTATTTTCTTAGAGTACAACAGTATACTTTTATTTAAGTTCTGAATAGAAACAAACTGCAAGTTAATAGTGATTGTTGTTTAGGAATCAGTCCCTACAAGGTGTATTTTTATTTTCTTCATGTTTTGTGTTTGTTTGTTTTCTAATTTTATAATGCAGATAAACAGGAAAGAGGATGCTTCCAGCTGGTGTCTAATAGGCTTGTGACTATATACATATTTCCACTGACTTTTTTTGGATTTTAACTCTATGCTGGTCAGTAAAGATGCCAGAGAAAACAAAAATGTGATTTCCGCTCTTGCGAATCTATAGTTAGCTCATAAGGAATTGTCAAAACAAACCAGTAAGTGTTGTCCCTTTAATTTTTGTTCTGTACCTGCAAGAGATTAAATTTTATCATCTGTGACTTTTCTTTTCTGTGTAACAGCTGCTCTCATGTTACAGTACCATTTCTAGATAAACGTTGACCACTTGGATCTCAAGACTATTTTGTTCTCTGATGACATTTTCTCCTTCATGTCTTGTTGGAGCAGATGTTTAGTCAGGTTTTGAAAATGTGAACCATTCACCTAATACCTTGCCCGATGGGAAGGGTGGGAACAGAATCACAAGAAGTGATTTGATCCAAGCCATACGTCATTAAAATGACACTAGACCACATTGTCCTGAAGAGGTCTTGGAAGATGACAGAATTAAAATTATTAAAAAAGAAATAAATTAAAAACTAAAACATGGGATGAAAAAGGAGTTGATACTTACAGGAACTTTAGGAGGGGGAGCTCTTTTAGGGCATCATGTTCTATGTAAGTTAAGCTTCTGGTATTCCGAATTTCTCTGTAAAAGTTACAAGGAATGTAGTCATTATAATATACCCATTTCTGTTTACCAAAGCATACAATGTAAGTCAGGTTTAACAAATATTTGTGAGAAAGAAAGGGCACTCGTGGCACTGCAGTGATGGTGGCTCTCAGGAATCAGTCCTGCCAGCCACAGACCACTCCAGCTCTGCACAGGGACACCCTGGCTATGGTCCCGCTTCCCTACCCTCTGTGTGTTTGAATTTATAGACGTACTTTTTCAAAATAGAGTAGTTCCAGAGGGGATTTTTCCCTTTTATATTTTATAGAAAAGAAAAAACCCTCCAATAGCTTAAGAGCTGAGGACATATATCTTTAGCATCAACAACAGCCAGCATCCTGCCCAAAGTAACGAGCCCTGAGTGGAAGGTCGAATATATGGTAGATGGCCACACAGCGGGGAGGGCAGGGTGCTGCTGTCAGCTATTTCACAGGAAGGGCACACATGGGTTTACTTTGCAATGACAGTTAAAAGATTCTTCAGCATATATGTTGTGATCACATATGTGCCTGTAACTTACATACTTAGATTTCTGTCTGCGCATAATTAGCATTAGTAAAAATAGCTAGAAATGGGCTGTCACTAGTGAAATTAAAAATATCACCATATGTAGATTGGCCAGAAAAGTTTAAAAGCCTACCTGTTACATACAAAGTGTGTAAAAACCCAATGAGACCTGTGTTCTTTCTCCTTAGAGACAGCTCCTAAGGCTTGGTTCCAGTCATTAAAGGTGCCAATTGGAAAACTTGAATCTGACTTCCACAATTTTGTGTAAACTGTTTTATTCAAAGAACAATTGCATCCCATAAAGTTCATGTATTGTAGGAATACAGCTCAACAATCTTTAGTAACTTTGTAAAATGGGGCAACTATCATCAGAATCCAGTTTAAAAAGATTTCTTTTGGTAAAAAAGTAAGGTTGTGTCCCTTTACAGTTAACCCCATTCCATCCTTCATATCTATAAAATGCTGCTCTGTTTTCTGTCTCTATAAATTTGCCTTTTCTGGATATTTCCTGTAGAGAGAATCATGTAATACATAATCTTCCCTGTTTTCTTTCTTTCCTTTAGCATGACGGTTGGGAGGTTTGTTTCTGTTGTAGCTGGTAGCTGAAATTTGTTCCTGTTGGCTGTCAAATAGTCAGATGGACTTGAGATACAATATTGGCTCTGCCATTCTGGCTGCCTGAGGCCCTTGGCCTTTTTGAGATACAGTTTCCTTGTATATAAAATAGACACAATAACATGACCTATTCCTCCAAAGAGCCATTTTGGAGATTAAATAATATCTATAATGAGTTTGATATACAGCCTTCCTACTGAGGAAATCCTCCTATAAATAATGTTTTATTATTGTTATTTTTAGAAGTACAACAAATGCTATAACAAAGATTGAGCCTTGGAGATGAAGGTATGGAAATGATCTTGCAAAAATAAACTAACCTTTGCTAGCTTTAAGTATTGTAACTAAGGACATTGAATATGAATCAGATGTTGGAAAAGAGAGGCTGGAATTAATTTTGAGAAAGAATCTATCTGTTCCTTCTCCCACCACACAGAGCTTACTGTCAATAGCAAAACAACCTTACTGGTCCATTGCCTACATTAAGGTAACTGCACTATCCCAGGAGATTTGTGCCCAGGCAAATCGCTTTATTTCTCACTATAGGAACTTCTTAAGGACCCATCAACATTTCAATTGAAAGCATCATTTCACATCTCTAGGTTCTTGGAATTGTTTGCTTCAAAATTCTCACCTTGCTGTGCCCACCAATCTTGAACTATTATACTTTACTATACTATATTATAATTCTTGTTTTAGTACTAAAATTCCTACCTAACCAAGACCTTGTAGTGAAAAGAGCCTCTTAAAACCAGTCTTTAAATTTTGTTTGTAGTAAGATACACTGGAGACACTGGCCACCCTATTCCAAAATCTCATGAGTACCCTGACTTGCCTCTTCAGAATGCTTGTGGTTCCATAAACCCCTTGACAGAGCTTTCCTTTGGAGGAGGAGGGTTTGAGCTGCTGTCAGAGACAAATATATGTAAGATAGGGAGTTTGGAAACTGTCTGAGTGTGGCTTGCTGGCTGGAAAATTGTTTCAAGAAAGATAAGTTTTGAACAAGTGTACTTGAATGAGTGGCCCCAAAAATTGTCACAGTGAAGTAAATGCAGCTCACGTGTTTCAGCGTTAAGACCAGTGAGTTGAAGGGAAGGGAAACACGATTGTTAGTAACAGTTGATTACAGGAGGCTGGCAAAGCACAGCGGATCTGGAAGGGAATAAAGAGAAAGCAAAGAGGGGGAAACACGAAAGAAGAGATGGGTTTTGTAACAGGACAAAAGACATAAGCAGTAGGAAAAAAGATAAGTGAACAAGATGTAACATGCAAGGAGATGATGTTGCTCACTCAGGAAAAAGACAATCCAGTCAGCTCCACATTGGCTCTCCAGTGACTTTAAAAAAAAAAAAAACCTTCTCTGAAGCAAAGCTGGAATGGAGTGGGCATAGACTAACTAGGAGCTTAGCTAAATGGAGACAGATCACCTAAGAAGCAAAAGGAGCTTGTGTAATTTATAAGCCAGACGTGAAAGAACCTCTAAATAGAGAAGGTGGAAAGCAAAGTCCTAATGTGAATTAGTTCCAAGCATGTGTGGGAGGGTGAACTTGAAACACACAATTTTGAGTTAAGCAACTGTGGCCTAAGAATGTGGGAGGCCGGTTCTGCTTCCAGAGAGCTGGGACACAAACAGAAAGAAATATGGCATGTGATTCAGTGCACCCCTCCAGAGTAAGTTTGCATGCCTAGGTGACTGCATGGAAGATAGCTGCCTGGACTCTGCTCATCCACCCAATCCTGTTCCATGAGCAAGAAATAAATTGCATTCACGTTAGGATGTTACATGTCTTTTTTTTCCACATCTTTTTTTTATTAGTGCATATTTTCTATAGAGGTAATGAGTTTCATTTTGACTGGTTCATACACGCACATAACATACTTTGATCTTGGCCCAACCTCCCCTTAGTTTCATGTTTTGTGGAGCCTTTTATATATATATATATATATATATACATATATATATATATATATATATATATTTTGATCATATCTGTCTCTCCTATTAACTGCCTTACCATGTTTTTATTTTTGCCTCTTACAGTAATTTTCCTGTCCAAACAATACAATAAGCATGAATAAAATTCTTAAAATACAAAGCAAACTATTTCTAGTGGTCGTTTTTAGTTCATGGGTTTGGTTTTATTCAATGTGCAATTTTTACTTTCTGTTTAATTTTGCTGAAAAGAAGAAACACACACATAGAAAGTATGTAAACATCCCCAAATTTAATACTAAAACAAAGCAAAGCAATATGTATATATATATATATATATATATATATATATTCCATATTTTTAAATATCTTTAGAATATGCAGTGCTAGATTATGTAAATACGCTTTTCTAGAGAGTTGGGTTATTTGTGCTGGAGAAATATGAGGCTCTTTAAGCTTACTGTTTAGAAAAGTCCAACCTTAGGAAATTAAGGAGTTAAAGAGACCAGGTGTATTTCTTACCACTTAGAATAATTCCACAAATAAGCCAGTGAAAGAATTGTCTATGTAAATCAGGGAAAGATCATGCTCATTTTGTAGACAAACAACAACATATTTAGAAACATTAAGTGGCTGATTTGTCATACAGTCAAAGGCAAAAATAGCCCTTAATCTAAGGCGTTTTACTGTAAGGAACAGCCTTTTATTTTTATTTATTCATTTTGAATGGTGTTTCAAGAAGATCATTCACGGGAACAAAAGATATTTGAACAATAGATTATTGCTTGACTCTCCTTCATTAGATTTTAAATACAATGGGCCTGTAAATGAAGAGTGTGCCACGGATGACTGGGGTAAGTGTCGTCACAATCAGCAGACCAATAATTTGGCAGATACTAGGTTTACGTAATCAAATGTCTAAGTTCTGGTTGTTCTGTGTTTCTGAGAAACGTTTGCTAATTCTCAGTAAGAGCTCCGAGCAGAGAAACTGTGGCAGGCATTGGGTCTCCACACACCTAAAACTTTAAGCAATGTGGGAAAACAGCAGAGAGAAGAGAGTTTCAGGGTGGGGAAAGGTGAACAAAAGGAGAGGAAATGAAGGCTTAAATTCTACCTCGAAGGAGCTTTCCAGCTACCCATTCACCTCATTGCCCTGCCCTCACTGTCACATCACTCAACAGACAATGGCTTTTGACCATGACCTTCAACATAAGGATGCTCAGCCACACCAGTTCTCCAGTGACAAACACTCCAAGCCCAGAAACGAGCAGAAGGCAATAAAGAAGCCAATGTAACATATCACCTGCAAAGTCACACAGGGCTGAGGGCTGGAGGCTGGGGGCTGGGGGCCAGGGGCCGGGGATTTAGCTAAGTGGCATAAGCGCCTGCCTTGCAAGGAGGCAGTTGTGAGTTCGATCCCTGGTACCGATTTAAAAAAAAAGTCACACTGGGCAATAGGCACAGAAAAGATGTGAAACTTTTTCTTACCCATTGTGAGAGCCACAGCCAACACACCTACACCAAAAAACAGATTAACGAGAGAAAAGCCTAGCAAATATATCTAACCAAGGTTTTGCATGGTATGGGAGCCTTCAGAAACGAAAGACCCAGGGAAAAACTAGTGTAAATTCAGGGACAAATGGGGCAGCCAGGTCCCAAGTGTAATTGGAAGGATGGGCACTAGGGGAAAGGTAATAGACAAGGAGAAATCCAGTAAAAGCTGGCAGTTCAGATTCTTCTTGACCTCTCCATAGAACAAGGAAATGGTACACTAGATTTTTTTCTTTCCCCAAACAAAAGCGAGGCAAGCTTAGAATAATATTTCTAGGTTTTGTGGCTGTCATTGAGGGGAGAGAGGTTTTAGTTTCTCCAGAACCCACCTTGGGTTCTGGTTTCTATGCTTGCTTTGGGAGAGAAAAAG